GCGTGGCCCAGCTCACCTCCGCCCCCTAAGGCGGGACCCCGCACCCGCCGGCTGCTCTGGTGGTGGTCGGTTTTGCACTTCCGGCTTCCGGGCCGGTCGTCCTTTACTCTGCCTTCTCGGACGAGTCTTCCGCTCAGACAGCCCTGTGGGATTCTGGGAGTTGTGGTTTTGGTTTATTGAGGGGAGTCTTTGGTGACCCAAGCTCTGGAACCGGAACTTTGAGTTTGCTCGTAGTCAGCCAATCCCTAGCCTACGGAGAGATGACGTCTCCAGTAGCTAGGTAGATTCTTTGGGAGCTAGGTCTTTGGAGGTGAACAGCACGCCCTCTAGAGTCTGGAGCTGTTCTCTACTTGGTGACCCGGCTGCGGGGCCAGTTCAGGTACGAATCTCACCTGCACAGCGAGGCACATACTGCTCAGTGTGCAGTCAGTTTTGGCCACGACTACGCAGTAGGCACGAGGAGTAAATGTCTAAGGTTTCAGTCCTGTGCGTGACCTCCGCGCTTGCAAAAGGTGTGATAAACCCCTAAGACGCGCCTGGAAGGTTGGGTGCTAGCTTCAGGGGTGGGGCACTGGGGGCTCTGGTGGGGTAGGGGAGAGGAGGGTACTGAGTGGGCACCAAGGATGGGAACCGAGAGTGGCTACAAGTCTTGGGTAGGGACTTCTTTTTTCATTGCACTTTGGGGAAAGTGTACACATACATGCAGTGACACAGCGCATGCGCTGAAGTGCCTTTCCCAACCTCCTGTTTCTAGGAAAACCACGCTTTATTGGGTAGACAAGTAGGCCCCATAGGAAGGCCTCAGATTCACAGTTAACTGCGGAGTGAACAAGAGTAGGCAAAGATGTCTCCCTGCCCCCACCTGGGGAGGCAGCTCCATAAAGCTAGTGCCCCATCTGGGCCGGGCCAGCCCTCACTCTCTTGTCTGATGTGGTAAGACAGTGACTTCCCAAGGGCTAGTGAGAGGGGCCGGCCTCCCTGGATTATTGAGAGGGTTAATGTAATGCTGGCCAGAGCCGCAGTGTGCCAGGTGCTGCCCCACAAGGAGCTGAGACCCCTACTGGACAGGGCAGGAGCCTCTCAGGCTTCAGAGACTATTTATAGCTAGGGCCCCAGGCTGCTGACCTGTGACATTCCCCTACTGCCACCCCATCCTGGAGCCAGGCCAGTGCAAGGTACACTCCTCTCCTCCCCACTCCCTCCTGCTCTCCCTCCACCCCAGGGAACAGAGTGGTTTTTATCTTCTTTCTCCTTGAGTTTCCCAGCTCCTGAGGTGCGGATGTGGTCAAGAAGTCCCAAGAAGGTGCTCATTTGACAGAGTTGGGCTCGGACTATCAGGACCCACCAACATGGGGAACTTGATCCCTCTTTTCCTACCCCTACTCAGCCTTTAAGCCACTCTGCCCCTGGCCTCCAGATGCCAGGTGCAGGCTTGCTGTCCTGGCTGCTCTGGGGCATCAGAGAGAGGTACAGGGTTTGAAAGGAATAAAGGGGATGGAGCAGGGAGCTCCTGGGGAGATAGCAGACAGGGCCCAGCTGACACCTCCCCCAGCTGGAGCTCCTGAGGAGGGAGGCTGGGCAAATACAAAGGTCACAGGGAGCCAGTGATCTGAGCCACTAGCAAAAGGTGTAGCTCTGTCAGCAGATTAAGTTTCTGCTCCCAAAAGAGGGTGCTGGTGGGGAGGGCGAGGGAAGGCTTGGAAAGGTCACACAGGGTGGGGAGAAGCTGGCAAAGAACTAGGAACCAGGAAGTCCCTGGGGAGAATGGCAAGCCCTGGGGCCAGGGATGCCAGCGTGGCAGCAACTCCAGTGCCAGGGCAGTCTGAGGGAGGGGGAAGAGGAAGACCAGAGGTTTCTGAGGACACAGGTGTTGCTAGGAGAAGCTAGAAGGGGGTTATTTGAATTTGTATTTTGTTAACAAACACAGATCCATTGATGCTGTGCGGGGCCTGGCAGAGATCAGCCAAGGGGTCCTTGGGGCCTAAGTTAGCTCAAAAGCCTAGACCCCTCCCTGGCAGCCCTTGCTTATCCCTCTTGTGGCTGTTACTTCTTTAGCCACCTAACTGGGTTTGGGACAGGAGTCTTGATCTATGTGAGGCAGCAACTGGCAGTCTTTACTTTGCCACCTTCTGCTCCCACCCTCCCTCATGCACACCCCAAAGCAGGCAGCACTGGACCTAGATGCTACCTCCTAGATGACAAGGAGAAAGCCCCACGTCTGGGAAAGGACAGGGCAACTCCATTTCTGACAAGATGTGGTGGCGAGGGGCTGCAGGCTGCTTTGGTAGTCCAGGGTCTCCACGCAGGAAGCTCGGTCCACAGCCTCCTATCCTCCAGTGAAGAGCTGAGAAGAGCCTGCTCCACAGGATGTTCCAGAGTTCTTGGTGACCAGGTGCCCAAGCTTCTGCCATCTCCATTAGGATAAAGAAGCTGCCTGGCCTGGACCCAGGCCCCGCTCACATATGTTCTGGATGATTCTGCAGGCAGCGGATAAATTCACCCACTGGCTGTCCCTCGTAGCACACTTTGTACACAGCTGTGAACAGGGGGAACCTAGGGTAGGGAGGAAGAGACCTAGTTCAACCTCCCATTCCCAGAACACCTGCTACCCACACCCCCCACACTCTGCATTCTCCACTTCACCCTCCAGTGCCCTACACTCCCCCCTGGGAACTCAGTCAGACTCTGGTTCTCCGTTTCCACCTGCTAAGAATCTGAACTCCCCTAGCCCTGGACTTTAGGGCCAGGTTGCTAATTACTCTGCCCTCTGTCATTCTGAACTTGTCTGCATGATTCCCTGGCTTGAATTTTTTTGTTCCAATTGGGCAACCCACTTCCCCTCTCTGAGTTTCAGTGTCATCAATTATAAAATGGGGGCTCATCACAATGCAGTGAAGATTGATTGTGTATGTGAAGATGTGACCACATGTTGTGTGAAGGTGCTCAATAAATGCCCATTTGGGGGCTAGCTGGTGGCAGGGTGGTTATAAGGAAGCCGGATCCCACATGGCTGATTGTGTATGCCAAGCCCAGGGCTTGAAAAACACACCGGGCTTAGGTGTACATGTGCCCCAAATCACAAGAATAGAGGAGAAGGGATTGCAGGGTGGCCATCCCCCCTGGAAGTTGCTTTCTCATTTTCTTTTTTCTCTCCCTCTCTTTCTGGTGAGCACACACACCCTATAGCAAAATTCTTTTTTTTTTTTTTTTTTTTGGAGAAGCTTTTTTGCTTTAGGGCACATGTACTCGCCAGAAAGACACAGAGAGACAGAAAGCTAGAAGTCACCTTCCAAGGGGGATGGCCACGCCACAATCCTTTCTTCTCCATTCTCCTCTCAGGATCTTGGACACACATGCACACATGCCCGGTGTAAGTTTAAGTCACCGGGTCCAGGACTCAAACTTTATTCAACTATAGAGGAGTCCAGCGACATAACCATTACACCAACTGCTGGCCCCGAAAAATTAATTTTTTTTAGAGATTTTTTTTTTTACTATAGGGCACCTGTGCATGCCAGAGAGACAGACAGACAGGTACAGAAAGCAAGAAATCACCCCCCAGGGGGGAGGGCCACACTGCAATCCTTTCTCTTCCATTCTCCTCTTAGGATTTTTGACACACACACCCAGTGTGTGTTTTAAGTCACCGGATCTGGAATTCAAACTGCAATTGACTACATGGGAATCCAGCAGCATAACCATTACACCATCTACTGGTCCCAGCAAAATTAGTTTTAAAGGTAAATGTCCATTTTCTTCTTCCTAGCCTCTTGTTCAGCTGTTCCCTTTACCAGGAGGCTTTCCTCTGACTAGCCATGAGCTGAAATCTTCTAGAAGTCTTTCACAGGCCAACAGAGCTCTGCTCTGACAAGCTCAGTCACCCATGGTCTTTGTGCTCCCTGAAAAGGAGCACCTTGAGGCAGAGTCCATCATCCTCCCCAGCTTAGCACCTATGGCAAGATGTGGGGGGCATAAGGGTTGGCCTTAGGGGAGAGGTGGGACAGTCAGATGAGCTT